ATTACTAAATGTGATATGTTGAGAATGAAATCAGGTCAAACGGGGTTAAATGATTTTAAGAGGTTAATTATGGAGTTAAGATTACCCAATACTCATTTTCTCACTRTAAGATTATAGTAAATCAGTAACTGTATAGTCAAGGGAGATACCATTACTTTGCCAAGATTCCACACGACTTACTACATTTGTCTCTCTCTCTCTCTCTCCATATGTGTATGTATGTGTATAAATATATATAATATAATTATTTTGTTAGAGTCATATAAACACCTTTGTACCCATAACCTAGCTGGAGGGATAAAACATTGCAGAAACATCTGTAGCCCCCTGAATACTCCACACCAATCCCYCAATCCCATTTTTCTCCCTTCATCACTAGAAATTATTTGGTGTTATTTCTGCATACGATTTTACATTTTCAATACATATGTATAAACTTGTTTTATAAATTTTCAAAGCACGGTATCAAAATGTAAGCGTTCTTTGGTATTGTTATTGCTGTATGGCATTCCCTGAATGAATATATCACACTTTTCCTAGTCATCACTTGGATAGACTTTTTGCTTCCCATGGCCCCCACCCTGATGTTCCAGTGAGRTAGGATTGATAAATTCCAGTTTTCAGTTCCACACAAGTTCTAACCATATTGTCTGATCTCTTAGAAGACTTAGAAACATACATAAACTATCTTTTAGGATAAYTTCCTTGTTTACTAATTATTATTTATTCTGAGGATGACCCTTTCCTCACATTACTTCCAAATTTTTGGTTCACTAAACTACAGATCCCTGCTTTGCTGTAAAATTATCCTCCTAGGTATTTAATTCTGTGACCCAGCAGTTTATAATGGCAAGAATCTACATTTTGAAGATGCAAATCAACAATTTTTGTTCATCTGTCTTCAAACAAAGGCTGCTTGTGTGGAAGTTGGCTTCCCACACTGCTATGGTCTGAATGTTTCTATTTCTCACAAAATCTGTATGCTGAATCCCTAACCCCAATGTGATTCTATTTGGACAGAGAACTTTTATAGAAGTAATTAGGGTTAAATGGGATTCTGATTTTATAAAATTGGTGTCCTTATGAGAAGAAATAATGAAAGTTCACTTGCTGCCAACCATGCTTGATATTGGACTTCCAGAACTGAGAGAAAATAAACTTTAGCTGTTTAAGCAACCTGGTCCATTTTGTTGTTGTTGTTGTTTTCCTTTGCAATACTGGGGACTGAACCCAGAGGACTCTGCCACTGAGCAACATCCCYGGCCCCTTCTTAAAATTTATTTTATTTTATTCAGTACTGAGAACTGAATCAAGGGGCCTTCTACCACTGAGCTATATCACCAGCCCTTTCTTTTGATACAGTTTTCGTAAATTGCCCAGGATGGCCTCAAACTTGGGATCCTCCTTCCTCAGCTGCTTGAAGTAGCTAGGATCACAGATATGTACCTTAAAGCCTGGCTTATTCTGTGGTATTTTGTTATGATTGTTGTAGCAAACTAATACATGCACTAACTCCGAGACCTGACTGCATACTGAAAAAGAGGAGGAAAGCAATGGGAAGTCTGGATTCTAGTCTAAGCTCAATCATTCTGATTCTAGGGTTTGACACGAAATCTTCTTGTCAATAAAATGAGTGGCATTAAGTAGCACTTTTTTCAGGTCCCTTAAAACTGAACGTATTTAACACATATGTTGTGGGCTATGACTTAGGCATTACAGTGCCAGGATTCTATCTTAAAGAAATAATGAATAATAGTCATAGATTTTGTTACAGAATATCCATGACAGAATTACATTTGATGGCAAAATAAAATCTGTTAAAAAATACAAACAAAAAACTATCCAAAATTAAAGTATGTTAAATTATAGTAGAGACAAACAATGCAGTATCTTTGCATTAAAAATGATACTTTATTTATTGAGAAAACTGTTTTAAAAAAAAACCTGCTTTGGTTATAATTATAACATCAAGGTTATAGTATTGAGAAATCATGTTCTTTAAAATCATGTATCAGCAAAAATAACTTGTTTGAAATCCCATCAGCACCAACTCATATGAATCACTTTTAAAATTTTTTGAACTGCTTTTTTGAAATATAGTTAATATAAACTATAATACTTAAAGTACACAATTTGGTACTTTGGTAAAGTTTTAAAATACATATACAACTGTAAAACTGATACTATCTGTTACTGGTGATGAGTCCTGCTTCCTCACATATTGAAGTATAACATTAGAGAAGCACCGAGAGGCAAGCATATAAAGCAGGGTTTATTTAAAAAAGGGCCACTTCTCCGGGGAGGGAGAAGGGGACCATAGCTGGTATCCCCAGAAGTGAGAGTGTTCTGCCTTTTTATCTGTCCTAGGTTTTCTTTGTTCTCCGGCTTTCTTCTCCCCCTTATCTCTCTCCTTCCTGCATATCTATATGACTAGGCCCAGGAGATACTGCATGGGATGGCCAAAAGGTAGAGGGGTCAGGGAGGAGTGGTCTGGGTAGGAAAGGGGGCCTAGGGAGAATTAGCAGTTCCAACTCCAGTCTGCTCAGAAGTTGCTTCATTAACAATTCTTTAGGATGGGCAGTATAGRCCAATCTCCCAAGGGCACAATTTCCAACCTTTGGATCCAAACCGGTTTGGTCTGTTTTCTACAATCTGGCCTGATTTATCAATCTAGGCTAAYTACCTGTTTTTTAATTCTGGATTCAAAATCATCAAGATAATGAACATATTAATCATCCCAAGTTTCCTGGTACTCCTAGTACCTCCCCCTCCCACMTTTTTGTTCTCACCTAGCATCCCCAAGTAACCACTTATTGGCTTTCTGTCACCAAGGATTATTTTGCATGTTCTAATTTTACATAAATGGAAACATACAATATGTTCTTTGGAGGGGGAGGGGCAGTGAGGGAGAGATCCTAGATTCTTTCATTCAGCATAATTGAGATTCATTCATGTTGTTCCATGTATTTATAGTTCATTCCTTTTTATAGCTGAGTGGTATTCCCTTTTATGGGCCACTTCCAGAAAAAGTAGTCCTTATTTCCAACCCAGGTTTGGTTTCAGACACATTTTACATTTATCTCAACTTTACCATTCAGAAGGGATTCCCAGTCTACTTGGACCAGAGTTGGTATTAACTTAATATTACATACAACTCTGCTTTGCTTTTGGTCTTTCAAAACATGGTTTCTTTTAAAATTTTACCTAAATTTTAATCCCTCTGCAAATCAATAAACATAACTTTGTGTGACTGCAGCAGCAGAGTTCTTGGTAGGCTTTATCAGATGATTTTTATTAATTGACATGAATGCTCATGTCTATATTAAGTGGAAAACAGTAAACAGCAGATGACCCCATTTTTCTTTTCTTTTTTAATATTTATTTTTCAGTTTTTGGCAGACACAACATGGTTGTTTGTATGTGGTGCTGAGGATCGAACCCGGGCCGCACGCATGCCAGGCGAGAGAGATACCGCTTGAGCCACATCCCCAGCCCCCCATTTTTCTTTTCAAAATATAAAATACATGGAAAGATGAGGAGAAACTTAAAAATGAGTATATTTGTATTATCAAATATAGGAAACATTTGTTTCCTATTTTTAAGATTACAGTTACAAAAAAAATAATATGATTTAGGAGTGGCATACTTCACTACTATTATTGTAAGTTTAATCTATAAATTCACAGGAGTTAAATCTAGACTGGCCAGCGGAACTTCTTAGGAAATCATGACCCTTCATGTCTGGAACCATAACAAATATGTAAGATTGTAAATCTTTTTTCAAAAATATGAATGGAATTTGTTAACTTTTAGAGCTTAAGCAGATTCCAATGACACCTTCTAAGTTTCTGACTTTATAATTTACAGCATTTAATTATAAGCCTACATAAAGTTTAGCAGAAGTTTATTTTTATTATTACAAAACTCCCTTCCACCCACTAATCACAACATGCTACAACTGCTAAAAAGTAGGTCAAAATACTTGACATATTTTTGGCATTGGGTTCTTAGTTCACTTGTTTACATACTAATGATCATTTAATGCTAAAACATTAAGTTTTCTTACAGAAAAAAATGAAATTTAAACACCCTAAGGCAGTCCCCAAACATCTTTGAAATTAAAATCTGAAAAGGCAATTCATTCCCTTCTAATGCTACATCTCACAGTTGGTCCACAGAGCAAACAAAAATAGAATTTTTAAAACTCCTTTTAACGCGTTGTAAAAAACCTTAAAATAAAATGTAAGGAGGAAGCTACCTCTACATGTAAACACAATCTAATGAGCTTCCTCTCATTATTTCTTATAGAAAGTTACAAATTAGCAGCAAAATAATAGTACCGCCCACAGGCTTTCAGATTTTTTTATTCTGGATACTAAAAACAGCACGACTGAATGAGCTTAACAACGCAAACACGCCCTAGAAAGGCTAGCAGAGGGCAGACACTCAATATTAACAGTTGGCCCGAAGATAAATATCCACTTGGTGAATTAAACCCAGCTTCACCCTAGGAGGAGGGGTGGGTGCCTGGCTTCCGACTCCACTGAATGCACTCTGGAAGCATCTAGCTGACTGGTGACCTAAGGAAGAAAAAGGCGCTTTCATTTCAACATCACTCCAAAAAAAAAAGAAAAAAAGAAAGAAAAGAAAAATAAGAATGAAAAGCCCTACATCTCTGCCCAGAGAGAATTTGACCCAGACCCCGTGCTCGGGTTCCTCGCTCTTCACCATTCTCCCCGGGCCCGCCCTCCATGAGCACCCCTCCACTGCACTCATTCAGAGCATCCCGTCTATCWCTGTTACCGGCCCACCTGCGGGGCTTCCTCCAATTAAGTCTTCCAGCCCCCAATCCCGGGTCACCAATCCCTAGGTTCCACTTCTCCGCCGGGCCGGTACCCGCCAGCGCCACGCCTTCGCGCCACGGTTCTCTTCCCGCCCAGCCCCTCCCGCGCCCACGTGACACCCACGCCCCGCCCACCGCGCCCACGTGACCCGCGGCCATCCCCGCGCGCGGCGTGGATCGCGGCCGGAGCCGCCATTGTTCCGCCGAGGGAGGACAGCGGGGCCTGGCGCTAGCGCCGAGACGCCGCTTAGCGGTCGCCACTGGAGACACTCCCTCCCTTCGCCCCGCTCTCCTCCAGGCGGCGGCGGCGRAGTGAGGCTGATAGGGGGAACCTGGGAGCCCCTCTGTCCTCCCCGCGGCGGCAGCGGCCGATCGCCGGCTCCGGCGCGAGGAGCTGTCGCGATGCGCTCGGCCTGAGGTGGCCCGGCAATCGTCGCTTCCTTTGACTCTTCCWCGGCGTCTCTGCGCCCAGCGTCATCCTTCAAGTCCCCCTGACGGGAGGGAAGATGGCTGCACGAAGCTGGCAGGACGAGCTGGCCCAGCAGGCCGAGGAGGGCTCGGCCCGGCTGCGGGAAATGCTGTCGGTCGGCCTAGGCTTCCTGCGCACGGAGCTGGGCCTAGACCTGGGGCTGGAGCCGAAGCGGTACCCGGGCTGGGTGATCCTGGTAGGCACCGGCGCACTCGGGCTGCTGCTSCTCTTTCTACTGGGCTATGGCTGGGCCGCAGCTTGCGCCGGCGCCCGMAAGAAGCGGAGGAGCCCGCCCCGCAAGCGGGAGGAGGCGGCAGCCGCGCCAGCTTCAGCCCCTGACGACCTAACCTTGCTAAAGAATCTCCGAGGCGAGGAGCAAAAGAAGAAGAACCGGAAGAAGCTGCCCGAGAAGCCCAAAGTGAGTAGGGGTGGGGGACAGGTACAGCGTGCCGGCGCCGCGACCTTCGAGCAAGGGGAGGGCCGAGCTCCAGCCGGGGAGCGAATAGAGTGTGGTTAGGCGACAGCCGAGGCGCAGATCTGCCAAAGTGGAGGAATAGGTGATAGGTGGGCATGTTACTTTGGGGAGTAGGGGAAACTCCGGAGGTGTAAGGGCGGGTAGAGAAGCCCAGTTTCCAGGAAGGAAGTTAGATGCTCTGAGTTAAGTATAAACAAGAGTACCCAGAAGTCAAACCACCTTCAGGAACCTTGACACTAGAATAACATACCTTACCTTAAGGCCTACCTTAAGGGTAGGCTGCACGTGGAGGGTAATGGGACCTTAAAGGCGGTGTTGGGAAGTTGTCCAAAGAGTACACCTGGAAGATCGCTCTCAAGTCCCACTAAGACCGTAGCCAGAAATTCGATGACCTAAAAACTCGGGCTTACAGAGGATTAAGGGTGTCCAGATCTAGACCCGCTTCCATTTTAGTTGGGACTTTAAAGGGAAATGGTTGCCCACTCTTGGTCTGGTGAGTTGGTCCAAGGGAGGCCAGAACAGAAACAAGGCAAGTGAGAGTCGGCTACCCAATATTYTTCAGGGGTATTTGGCCACAAAGAGAAAGAGCTCAGGCAAGTTAAGTGAAGTGGACTGTTGTGCACTCCATGATGTGGGAGGTTTTTGAAATAGGGTAAAAGGGGATGACGGGGCAGAATGGTGAAGGTTGAGGGTTTCAGGCACCAATTTACTGGACCACGTGTGGAAATGCAGAGGGCATCATATCCCTTTTGTCATACCTTCATGTTTTACTTGTACATTCTTTATTGCCATTTTTCTGGTGGTTTTCCCCTTTATATCTTTCTTAGTTAGGTATATTTTTAAAATGCTTTACAAGTTGAGCACATTGAGAATATGGAGGTCGTGCTGAGTTAGAAATATCTCTTAACCTATTTTTTTATTCACGTAATTAATTTTTGCCTTTCAGTATAATTCAGTAATCCTTACTATGAAAAGTGCACCCTGTTGTGTTTGGTTGGCAGTATGAGGTATGCACATAGGAGTTAAGAGTCAATCACAGGATACCGATTCATAAATAACTATAATATTGCAGACTGCTAGGTGCTAACAGAGATGTGAACAGAGTATTAATGAGGTTTGGAGGGTGGGAGACTCATTCCATTGGATGGATTTAGAGAAGTTATTGAGGGAAGTGGAGTGTAAATTCAAACTTATGAGAATATTGTTGGTAACAATACAAAAATAAGGYTATATTAGAGATGTGACAGGTCACAATCAATTAGGCCTGGTTAAACATTGATATTTTGCTTGCTGATTAGGAAGTGCAAGATATATGAAAGCTGGAAAAGGCACAACTTAGGAGAAGAAAGAAATAGAACTGACTTGGAACATAATAAAAATGCAGAGAGCACCAAGGATTGCCAGAAAGTAATGTTATGATGAAATTAAAGAACCTGGCTCTAGAGTAAAGAAGGTGATCTTGGGGAGGGGGAGGGGACGACCCACACGTATTAATCCYAAACCCTGTGCAGATGTGGCAGGTTGTGAAAATTTCAAGGCCCTATTTGGGACATCTAGAATTTCAGATGGACTTGAGGCGAGAGACAGGTGCTCCAAAGAGCCCATCTGAAGTGCATCCTAACATTCAGATGACTCATCTGAAGAAGGAACAGATTGGTGAACACTTGACACTATGAAAAATGCACATTCSATTTAGGGCTTACTGCCTCCTTTGAGTTAAGAAAGGGGGAAATGAATAAGTAAATAAACCTAGAATTGGCTTTGAGAAGTGGAGAACAGGGACACTGACTGGATGGTGAAATATTAATTGGGTGAGAAAGTAAATGTTCACTAATCAAAATGTTGACGATGTTATCAAGGTACTACCTACAAATAAAAGGCAGTAAAAAGAGATACAGTATTCTAAATTGGATCACATTTGTTGGTTTCACATTTGATTGTGAGGCATGATCCACAGAAAAATACTGCTTTATGTGGCTAAGTATAATCCACCCTTTGTTTAGTACTCATTATGTACCTTGCAGTGTACTCTAAGGATTTACTTGAAGAAAAAGCAAGGTACTACCTACAAATAAAAGGCAGTTAAAAGAGATACAATATTTTGTCACTCTGAAGGGGATACAAAAGTAAAAGCTCTCTTTCTCCCCAGGGAGTTCTTTATTTCAGTTATAGAAGATACACAGTGGGTTGTGCATCCATGAATTCAACCAACTGGGGAGCAAAATATATATTTTTAAATTTATAAAATTATACGTGCACTAAATACCTATAGACTCTTCTTATAATTATTCACTAACCAATATAGTACAACACTACTTACTTAGCATTTACATTGTATTAAGCCTTACATGTAATCTAACGATGATTTAAAGAATGTGAGGATGTTTATAGGTAATATGCAATACTACATTTTATGTAAGGAACTGCATCTGCAGATTTTGATATCGTTAGGGATCCCAGCCAGTCCCTTGTGGATGCCAAGGGACTACTGTACTCAAAAAACTTAACTACCCTGTTATTCCAGGTAGGCACCAAATACCTAATCACAAAGTTGGCTTTTAAAGTGGGTAARGGGTAGGAGCCAGGTAGTGGGAGAGGCAGGCCTGAGATACCACAAAGGCCCAGGGTTGGAGGAAGACAATTTACCAGCCTGGCTGGAATGGGGAACTCTAAACTTGTAACCTGTTCAACCTTATCTTTTTAGCTTGTTTATAAATTGAAGATCTTAGTTGAGTTAAAACACTGCAGGAGTCCTCAAAGTGTCCTGGCTATTTGTAATAAGAGTAACTTAGAATACTCATTTTATATATAGATATAGATATATAGATATAGATCTGAGTGTTACCACAGATTTTAAACATTCAAAATCTCTGAACCTGGGTCTAGGGAAATATGCTTTTGTTGTTGTTGTTGTTGTTACAATTTTGTATTTTGTTCTTGTTTGTGTTTTGTGACTGGGTCTGGTTGTGTTGGCCAAACTGGTGTGATAGCACCCTGCAAATAGTTACTCATCCTAACTATTTTAGAGTATGCAGCAGGAGGATTGCAAGTTTAAGGCCAGCTGGGCTACTTAGTTAGGCTGGGGGGCGGGGCCGCTCTTGAAAAAAGGGACTGCAAGTATAGCTGAGTGGTAAGCACCCCTGGGTTCCTTGATCCCAGTACTATTTCCTCTATTCCAAAATTTACACACTGGAATAGGGCTTTGGGATCCATAGTATAACATAAGATCTACTGTGATTTCTTTGAAAGGACATTTCATATTGCTTTAGGACTTTTGCTTAAATGTAATTTAACTTTCATCTTTCTTTTTAAAATTTCATTGTTTATTTATTTGTGTGTGTGTGTGTTGCTGAGGACCAAACCCATTGCCTCATGCATGCGAAGCAAGGGCTCAACCACTGAGCTACAACCTCAGCCCTAATTTCATTATTTCTAGTTTCTTTTAAATCATTCCAAATTTTTGGATCCTCCTTTTCAAAATTTGTCTGTAATAGTTTGTCTTCATTTGTACAGTAGGTGGTATTTAGCTTCTTAAATCTATATTAATTTCAACCTATTCTTGAACATTTTTTAAAATTCTTTTATCAATTTGGTTTTTATCCCCTAATAATGTCTTGCCATAAGCCCTTTAGGGTATGAATTGCAGATGTTCCACTTTTAAAGTGAGAAAGGGGAACACTTTTCACTGGATTAGTTCTTGGTATATTTAGGAATAAGTTTTTCCATGTATTTTTTTATAATACATAGTTTAATGTGGATTTTAAATAGACACTCAGTAAATAAAGTGAAACGTGAATTTTTCACAAAATCAACTTAAGAAAATTTATTTTAGTGAACAAGTTGTTTACATATTAATGTAGGAAGATTTGCTGTAGTGTAATTGTCAGTATCTTGAAACTTAATAAACAGTAGTATTTTGTCTTGTTTGCTACTATATAACTGTGCATAGTACTTGGCACTAGTAAAATTATTATTAAATGTATGATATAGTAAGATATCCCACCAGAGTATTTATACAACTTTTTTTTAATAGTTGTTAATGGATCTTGTATTTTATTTATTTATTTGTATTCAGTGCAGAGGTTGAACACAGGACCTCACACTTGCCAGGCAAGCTCTCTACCACTGTGCTACAACCCCAGCCCTATACAACTTTTAATCATGCCAGATAAATAGTCATATGAGCCGCCTTTTTATTTTTACATTTGAGATGTTGTTTGCCTAATCTGGCTATGATTTTGAAAGGTCCATCCTTCTACATCCAATAAATTATTCTAGTGCTATGCCATGTCTTTTAGTCATTAATTCTGTTTCATTTTTAATGACAGTGCCCTACTTTAGGAATTTTATTGCTTTTCGAGTAGACTGTTCGAACAGTATCCTGACTGGTTTTCCTGYTTCCTGTCTTTATTGCCAAACTTTTCTACGTACTCACGCTAGTTGAATCTTTTGAAGTCCAGCCCTAATCATTTGACTTTCATGTTTACCTCTTTTCAGTAAGTTCCTCTGTCATATGTTGAATAAAATCCATAGTATAAGATATGGCAGCAAGTCTCTTCRTTATCTAACCCTATCTTAGGTTTGTCTCTCACCATTATCCCTAAGAAACTTAGTTACACTTCTGTGTCTCCCTCTGTTCTTGTCTATGAAAAAGCCCTTTCTTTCTTTCTACCAATTTTTACTTTTCCTTCAAGACCCAGCTGCAATGCTACCTCAACTTTAAAGTCTTCCTAGCTCTTCAGCTACAGTTGTATGTTTCTGGAACATATAGCAAAATATCCTGTATTTAGCAGAAGCTGTTGCCATGTTGTTAAATCAAAATGGCCTGATACTCCCCTTTCACATGTATCTGTAATCATTCAGCAAGTATCTAAATATCTCCTCATTGTGCATTTTGGCAGCATAGAGCACATTGATAGTGGTTACACATAGGAGGTACTTTA